AGCGTAGCTGCTTCGGCTCGTGTGCTGAGCCTCCAGAAAACATCCAAAACGAAAATCCTGTATCGTTTTTCTCTTCAGGTCTGAACACTGAAGTTTCCTTGCGTGCTTCAGTTTTCAGTTCTGTGGATAGGTCTTGGATGGAGATTCAGGTCAGTAATGGTATGATGGTACCAAAATGCAAGAAGTCAAAGACTTTGAGGCGTTCCGGGATGCTTGTAAAAATTGCTCATTTAATCTCTGTAAACTGTGTTTGTTTTGTGCTTGTGGAATTCTGGAAGGCAACCTTATCTGATGGTATTTTAAAATAGAGACCAAGTCTACCAAAGTACTAAGTCATTGAATTTGTGGCAGGACAAAGTTTTAATATGTTCATATGATGTTTGTGATTGCTGTAAGTGCTGTAATCCTATTTGGTACTGAAGTAAACTTTCAGTCTCTTACACGTAGACATGCAAACCAGATTCTTTTGCCAGTGCGGGGGGAGGAGGATAGCTGTTTTCTTGAGAAAGTTGAAGCATGAACATAGCTGTGCGGAGCAGGCATTACTTTTTGTTGTCTTATGCTGTAGGAGTAGCTTTTGAGTTGACTGAGGTATAAGCTTCTGAAAACCTGATGTTTTTACGTACTTGATGGAGTTTGGTTTAAGGACAGTTACCGAAAGCTCCTAGTATTCTATCTACTCTATTTCCTAAACCAAGTGGTTTCTCTGGGCCACCCGTCCTAAATTTTCTTCCCAGGCTTCTTCATGTTTGCAGGAATGAAACTAGTATTTTTGACAGGATTCAGCGACTGTCCAGAACAACTTCCTTCCCTCAGGTAAAATGTTCTGGTCTGGGAGCCACTGGACTTCTGTTTAAAAACATTGTGTGTGTTGTAGCCCTTTAATACAAATAATACAATCCATATACTTAGAGGCAGGCAAAGTGTTCCTGTTATCTGGTACAACAGACAGATAGATATATCATATGTATTGTTAGTTCTTGTGTCTAGTTTATTTAGCCATCCTGATCTTGAAGTGAGAAGGTCATTATGCTTTTCTATTCCTTAAAAAGTATAATCAGAAAAGTACTTTTTATTGTACATACAACAATACTACTGCCTCCTTATCTTTATGGGAAATACCTTGCCTACTGTATTCGAAGTTATATTTGTTTTATGGTCGTTTTACTGATATTATATATGCTGTGGTACAGCATAGCTCTCACTTTCTCCTCCCTGATTCTGAGCTGATGATCCCATTCTGTCCTATGACTGAAGTATGTGACTCCCCAAGATTAGTTTGTTTTCTGAATTCTAGAATGCAAGATGGGAAGAAAAAAAACACACTCAAATCCCCCAAAGTCTCTTAAGGAGAACCCTAAAATAAAGACAATGTCATAGAGTCAGAAAAATCAAATGTAAAATGCCCACGATTAATTCAGCTTGTAGTTCGACTTTTTTCTGTTGTTTACAACATGTTTTTTAGTTACATACCACTATATTTCTGTGTTCTGTGCCCCTCATTGAATGAGGCAGCTTATAGCCTACAAACGAAGCACAGAATTTCAGGAATTGTAAGGCTTTTTTGTTTATATTTGAGGCAATAGTTCTTGGACCCAGAAGAATGTGATTGTGTGCAATTGTTGTATGGAGAAGCACACACTGTATATGCATGTTGTTTGCATGGACAACCCAAATCTGGTGTTTTCCAACTTTGAGCACTTAGTATTATTTAATGGTTTTTGTATATTGCAAGGTGTGTGTTGAATTAACTGTACTGGATAAAATACTGTGATAGTTTCAAGTGCCTTGTTTTGTTACTTCTGTCATAGTAAAGAATGATAGTATTTTTTTTTTTTAAGTGGTTGCCTTTTACCCTCCCAGTTTCACAGAATCCTCTTTGTTAGAGGAGACTGATGAGAGGAACTAATACATCCTAATTTAGAAATAAAAATTTATGGATTTCGTAATTAATCTGAGACAGGTTCACATGACTAATTTCTTCTGTTCTGCTAACTAGCTGAAAGTTTCACAAAGTATCATATGTCTAAATAACCAAGTCAGAATCACGAGAACTGCTTTTGGAAAATATCAACTGATAACTCCCATTAATAATATTGAATTTGAAATATCTTCATATTAGTGCCAGTTTAAATCAAACCTAAGCCTATAATATGTGCTTTAACTAATGTTGAGGACCCCAGAACATGCAAAACACAAAGGATAGGAAAAGAAGTTAGGATTTCTTAGGTTTTCCTTGGTTCTAAAGTAGAATGGAGTAGTCTCGTCGGTGATCTTGTTGGTTGAGTCGATGAAGTTGTGTTTTTCAGAATGAAATACCTGCAGTGAGACAAAAAAATTCCACGTGGAAGCATTTAAATAAGAAACCTCAACTGGGAGGTTTTGAACAGTAATACAAACATTTTGGACACCCTAATTAAGTTTAATTGTGAAGTACTTTGAGTTCCTCTGATGAAAGAAGTTAGAGGAGATCCACGCGGTCTGAGAACAGTAATATTAAACATGTACCATCTCCTTTAAAACTTTTTTTTTTAATAACTATTATTGCAGCACTGGATCAAATGTAGTATTTGCTCTTGTTTTGTGCAAGGGTGTTACCACTGTTTTCATTTTGTGTATTTTCAATTAATTTCTTACTGTGAAACCACAAGAATTGCTAGAGGGACTTGAACGAGCAGTCCTTTTAAATTCAGTAGCGAAGTTGGTTATGTTTCATGATGACTGTAGGGCTTAGTTGTTGCTTTTTTGTACTATGGCATAGGAGGTGTACTGGATTACATGTTTTTTGTTGTAAATGTTGGAATTTTGAATGTTGGATTCTATGACTGGATTACATTTAGGTGCAACTTTTTATAAGGGGAGTAATGTATCTTTATTTTCTTAAGAGAATGCCTGTACGTAATCACGTTATAGCTAATCCTAAGAGGAATCTAAAGTTCCTCTGTAGATGGCTAATCGTTGGCTGTTTTAAGACTGGATTATGGCTGTAGCAACAGTACGAAAAAGAAATTGTGCTGGCTGTAACTTTTCAGTGAAGAACAGAGAGGTCCTGATCTTGGGCTTCAGGTTGCGTTTTTATAGTGAAAACCATTTTGCAGTGAGAGTTCAGGGGAAATTCCCCTCTGCTGCTTCTAATTAACGGTGACAGAATTCTGACACTCTCATGCCACAGGTTTTCTGGGAACCGGTGATGATCAGACTGTACAGTTCTGTCTCGCTATATTCCAAGTTAGTAAGTTAAAGGCTGTTGCGGGAGGCCAAGTTAGCATAGTTCTCTATTAACTCAATTTCTTACTCTAAAGAGATTATTTGTTGTTAAGACAAGCCTCTCCAAGGAATAACAAAAGGTATTTGTTTAAGCACTAAAATGTGTTGCCTCACTTGGTTGGTAGTTTTGTTTGGAAAAAATGTTTGGAGTTCTCTGTTATTCTTTTTAAAGACCTGATCTATTCAATTAGTCTATTTCCTGTTGGAATTATAATGCAAGATCCCATTGAGTCGTTGCCCTGTGGGTTTGTGTGCTTGTTGCTGTCCCATTGGATTTTACTAGGAGTATAGTCAGATTAAGAGCACGATGTATAGAAATGAATGGTAGTTTTTGCCTCAAGTTCTGTAGGCGGAGGAGATGCTACTAAATGGTCTAGGTTAAAACATAGTTAAAACTTATTCTTTTTATGATGTGAACTTAGAAAGCAAATCTCTCAAGTTGGTACGCTCTTAAAGGCTCATAAACTGCTCATGAAGGTTAGCTGTTACTTTTGTGAGTCATACAACGTATTGATGCAGAAAGCATAATATAAGTAAAGAGGTAGAGAAGCCAAGCAGTTTTCCTTTTTTCTTTTTTGTTTGTTTTTTTTTTTTTTTTTGGGAATGGCAGTAATCCAGCATTTGGTTCAGGAGACCACAAGACCTTGCTTCATTCAGTAAATGAGTGATATGCACTAGAAGATGTAATTCAGTTATATGGAAGGCTGAACCCCCTTCCCCCTAGTTTTTGGATGCTTGACTTTGCAATTTAACTAGTGGAATGTTTACCTTTTTGTGAATGAACGCTATCAAATTGCCTCAAGTTTAGACTGCAGCCTGAAAGACCCATGTTGGATTAACACCCTGTACTACTGAGTGTTATAGATTAAAATTTTTCAGACAGACCATTACTACATTTAACAGTACATTGGAGACCAAGGAATGTAACATATTTGCCCAGGTGATACTTGGTAAAAGTTGTAATATGCTAAATATTGTTCACATGTTTGTGTATTGTGAAAGCATAAATTTGAGGGCTCTGTAAGAAGTGTGGAGGAAGCTGGTCATTCACATATAGTCAATAAATTCTATGATGCGAAAGAAGAGCCTTTACAAATAATGGAAATAACGTGACAGTTCAAACTGAATCCTGTTTATCTAGATTTGGTATCTCATTGATGCCAGAAAAATAACTTTTTGAAAGACAAGTAGAAATTAATCTGCAGCCAATTTCAAGTAATACACGGATTTTTCCAAGCTGAGCAATACTGTGGATTAATATTTTAAGCGTTAACTTTTGTCTTCTCTGGAAATTCAGTCATTAACATTTATGTTGTGTTTGATAGGCCTAATTCTGTGGCTGCAAGAAGTGCTTGTTGTAGAATTGGTCAGTTTTTGATTTGAGAGATTATGGAATGAGATCTGCTACTGTTGCAGTTAATGTATGTGTTACAGTTGAGAAGGACTACAGTGCTCCTTTGTTGATCCAAAACTTTTCTTTCGAGAGGTTATCACGATGCTTTTGACTTCAGTAAGAATGCAGGGACATTCAGTAAGAATGCCTGCTCATGCAGGCAAGGCTTTCAGGCCCTTAATTTGTATCTTTAATATTTTTATGAAAAAGAATCTTTGCCTTGCAAAGGCAAAATATCAAAACAATCATTTTCCTTCCTTCCACCTTCTCTCCTCACTTTCTTTTTTGCTTTGATTAATGACAGATCAGCCGTTTTAAAGAGCAGTTTCTGTTAGAGGACATGCCCTCTCTGCTTCAAAAGACAAAAGTTATTGCTTTTTGCTGTTGGTTTTGATGAACTTTTTTTAAACAAAGCAGAACTGGCTTCCCTTTAATGTCGTGAACTCATGAAACACATATAGAATATCTTAGAGAATATTTGTGTTCTTGTTTCTAAAGGTCTCAAAAAATGCCCTCGCTTTACAGGAAAGTGAACCAGCTAAATTCCCTCTGCTGTTCAGGTCATGAGTTATATTTGAATATTTCTGAATTTCACTGAAGTTGATAGATTAGTTGGTATTTGTTACCTGCTGCTATTACGCTGATTTTTCCAATTATATACTTAGAATAAATGCTTATATTTACTCCAGTGAAGAATTTGTGAAGAATTGGGGTGATTTGGATTTATGTTAGAAGAAGGGAAGATTAAAATTAAGAAAGTCTAAGGAAGATTAGCATATACATCATGCACATGTTCATTTCTAAACACTGCTTGCGTAGCCACATGCGGCCTAAAGCCTTTTGAAGTGCTACTCTAAACATTTTTGTGCTTTATGCATGCATTCCATGGGTGTTACAGGCTTTTAGCAAAAGGCACTTCTACCTCTAAAATAATTATATAAATTAAAGATTGCTTGTCTCTCAAAAATAAACATAGGCTATCTGTTTGCATGCTTCTTTGGAAGATAAGTTTTAGCTGAGTGATAGAGTCCAGTAAAATGAAAAATACTTGCTGTATGTCTTGACTCTGTTTTGGTTATTTTGTTGTTGCAGGTATTAAATATGCTGTTGTCAATAGGAATGCTGATGTTGTCTGCCACTCAGATATTCACTATTTTGACAGTTCAGTTATTTGCTTTCCTGAATCTTTTACCAGTGGAAGCAGATATTTTAGCAGTAAGTATAAGAAATTTCTTTATACATAGATGAAATATTTATAAAGTTGAATCTTATATGACGTTTCTAATTATGAATCAGATGATGCAATAAATGCTATAGCAGATTGTTTGGAATGGAATTGCCTAAACACTTGCATTTAGTACAAAAATAAGTTGTATGTTTTAAAAGCGCTTACAGATGATGTGCGCTCAGATACCGTGGTAGTGAAAGTGCTTAATTCCATTAGTCGCTTACAAAGGTCCAGTATGACCAGATATCTATAGCATGTTAAAACCCTGTTAAAAGAATGCTGTGCTTATTTGCTTTAGATAGCAATTTAACTTTTGGTGATGGATGTCATTTTGTACGGTAGCTGTATATAAATAAAATAATTCTCCTATGTCTGGTATAAGCTAAGTCTGGTCGGAGTCCTTGTCAGCAAACTCCTTGTTTATGTTAGACCTAGATATTTTTTAAATAACCGTGATAATCTCTGCAACTGTTGAGGATAATATTTTCCAGATGGATAGAATTTTAAATGCTCTGTATATGTAATGTTGATAAGTAACATAATGGGCATAGGGCCAGTGGTAAAAGATGCGCATTAAGTGTTGCTAATTTTATAAACTTTGTAGTTTTATGGAGGAAGTTATATCTGTCACTGTAGAATAGAGGTCCAGCTGCTAAAAGTAATTAAATATAATAACTGTAATCTTGTATTCTCTGCTAGTCACAGTGGTATCCAGAAAAGTTGTTAACGTTATAAAAATGAATTTAGGAGGAGAGGGAGAAAATCCTTGAAGCAAATTGTTCCCCCAAAAAAAAAAAATTGGTTGCAGTGTGGGATAGATGAATACTGAATTGTGGTGTTTGGGTCTTCGGATTGTTATTACTTTGTGTTACCATTTTTGTAGATAAAGATTTTAAGAAACAATGCAGATAGATAATTGTTTTATTATTCTATACTGTCATCACCATTTTACAATGAAACTTTAAACTAGCTTTCTACTGTAAAACTGATATTTTTTCCCCTCTTCCTCTCTCCAAGCCCATGCTTCCTCTTTTCATAAGAAAGCTAATTTCCATGCTTGCTTACTTCCTCTCTTAGGGAAGATTTTAAAAAACATTAACAAAAAAATTATTCTGAAAGTTTAGCTTAATCTGTTTAAACTTCCACGTGCACTGTGTTCTAAATTAATTCCATCTGAAAATGGAAAAGTGTTTTTCATTCTAGGATACTTGGGAAATTAGGGATCTGTTACGAAAATATCTTTAAGGTAGGAAATGAAAGGATGAACTGGACGCTTATTGAAACTGTGTTATGAAAAGGAGCCAGTGGAATCCTTAAGAGATATGCAGAAGATAAGAAAATGTTTGCATGCTATTTCATGTGGAATCGGGGAGTTGAAGGCATATAGACAGCATATAGTTTTGGAAGTCTTCATGGGTTAATGAAATCCAGGCGAAATTTTAGGTTCTCCGAGGAAAGAAATTCTTTCTTCCCTACTGACCTAGGTATATTTTTATGCTCAGTGTTCCCATATAGCTGCAGCCTCAAATCAAAGGTTATGTTTGTATAAAGTTCTGGTTTGTGTATATGAAGCGTGATTGGTTATTTTTTTAATACAGGATAAAAATAAATAGGTTTGTGACTGACTCCTAGCGTAAGTTGGGGCCAGGTAGATGATTCAGGGGAAAGCATACATGGCAGAAATCCAAGAAGAACGTTTTCAGAAAGGTAGACGAGTGAGAGATGAGGATTGAGGAAGACAATTTACTGGCATAGAGCTGTGCTGTGTGCTTTTTGAATGGGAGGTAAAGAGGAAAGGTTGTATGAAGCAGATGGCGTTAAACAGAACAAACCCCCTTCTCTTAGTTTGCTCCATTCCCACCTTTTTTCTCTACTTTTATACCAGTCTCAGAAAGGAGCTCCTTGAAATCTTACTCCTTTCAAAGGAGCAAGTTTAACCATGAAAGTGTTAGTCTTTGAATTAGAGTTTGAGTTCCCATGTCCAAGTCTGGTTATTAAGAGAGGCATTGTCGCTCTGAAATAAACATGATCCCTTGATTATTGTGTTTGGCAGCTGAATGATACAATAAATAGAGAAATATTTCTTAGTCATTAAGCTATTTAATATTAACCAACTAATGTGCGTTCAAGTCAATTGTTATATAATTCACAGCTTCTACAGGAAACTAACTTTCTTATCTGAAATGAAAATAAATTTTAGCCTACGTCATGTTTTTATTGTATGGATTCTCCATTGGCTAGCCATCTCATAGCGCTGTGAAAGATCACACAAGGACAAAGGAAACAGCTTCCACGAATTTAAGGTCTTTATAGTATTCCTCTCTTTTGAAATGGAAGTTCATAGTTGGTATAAAACAAAACTGTAAAGCTGGTTACTAACCTGAGTTAGTTACTATCCTGTGTAGATGGCAGTGAGCTAAGAAAGGATGACGTATAGAGGCTGTTCTTTGCTTACAACAAACCACTTCTTGAAAGCTGTTCTTCATTGTATATAAGTCAGTTCAAAACAACAACAAAAAAATCTGCTTTTCAGATTTTTGCTTTAGAATTTTCAGAGTTGTTTGCCGCTTCTCTTCCGCAGGTGCAGTGATACTTGAATTGTAGATAGCAGAAAGAAAGACTTAATATACAGGGTTGTTACTTGATAAATAACTTTTTTGATCACTAGATAACATAAGAATGGTGTTCCCGTATGGATGGAAGACCAGTAGAAGAAGCAATTTTACGATTTTATTAGCATTGCAAGCAGTGTTATGTCTGATAAATATTTTAATCTAAGAAGTACACAATATTATTCTTAGAATTATGTATTTCTCTCTTGTTGCAAACCTGAACTTTCTTTAAAATTTATTTCTCTTAGTATAACTTTGAAAATGGAACCCAAACCTTTGATGATCTACCTGCTAGGTTTGGCTACAGACTGCCAGCAGAAGGCCTCAAGGTAAAAAGAAAATAAATAAGTATATATTCTGAATATATAGAACAAGCATAAGTGGGGGGGGGGAAAGAAAAGTGTGTGGGTACTCTTTTTCATTACTTTTTGTATTGTGCAAGTGGCTACGTGGAATCAGCCTAGAGGCAGTAAGCTGTTTGGCTGTCACTTTTAACAACGTATAAATAAGTATTTATGACTGAGATGTACACATTTTTAATTTCTATAAGAATTCTAGGCTGTAAATGTATTTATGCCGATCATCTTCCAAGTTTCAGTGCAGGGAAACTGCTATAAATTGCACACCGATGGAGACAGTGCCATATGGGGCATCGCATATGGGGCAGAGAGCTACTTTCCTATTTGTTCTGTCTGTAGCCTGTCTGGCCCTGAAATCTGACTCTGCAGCATTGTTGATGTTGCAATGCCGGTGAGTAAAAAAAAAAAAAAAAAAAAAAAAAAAAAAAAAAAAAGCAAAACTGATGTGGAGGTACAAGGCCCGGTCACTCTTAGACTGCATGGTGTCATGCTAATCCCAAAGGATAGGCAGAATTTACAGGGGAATAGATTGCTATAGAATTCCTGTAACTGTAAGAATTCCTCTGCAAATGAAACTTCAAGAAGATGTCTTCATTTTCATCCCCAGTGGGTTTTATTATGGGGAGGACTGCAGTTAGAGCTGGTATTGTTGTTTACCAGCTAAATTGAGAAACAGGGAGATTAAGTGATTTGCCCAGGGACAAGTAATGAGCCAATTTGTTGCATCAAAAATAGGTATAAGGAGCTTTGACGCTAACCTTTCTAACTGTTAGGCAGCCCTATCCCTTAACTAAGATGGGGTCACCTGTGTAGAAATAATGAATTTTAGTCCAAGAAGTAATATTGAAGCTTTTCTCTTTGCCTACATGAAGATTTTACTTATTTCCAAAATGCTATGATATTGGTTGAAGTAGGATGAAAATATCATTCTTATTCAGTGCTTATGATTAGGAATTATTAGTTAATGTACAATTGTAAAAGCTATCAGATTCTGTACTAACTGGTGCCAAAGCATACAACAAAAGGAGGGCGGGTTTTTTGGCTTGCAGGGTCTGTTCGTACAGTGATCGCTCATCTGTGTCTGGGTCCTTAGAAGAACAGTTTCCCAGTTAAACGTTTTTAAGAACATATGCTAGCATTAAAAAAAAAAAAAAGAACTAGTGGTATTTAAGGTTTGGTTTCTATGTATGCGTTTGTTCATTTAACTATAATGTGACGTTGTGATTTGAATGGAACTTCTCTGTAGAATACATTTAGTTGCAGACGTTAGCACTCTTGTCAAAGTAAATGCTTTACGTGACGTTACGTAGCAGAAGTAATGCTTACTGTATGAGTCCTTGGGCTCTTGGGGGCCTAACTGTGACTGTGAGCACAGCCACATAGAATTTCTAGTGGATATGTTTTTTAATTGTTCTAGACTGTCTGTCACCACTAACTTGGCAAAGATCAGATTGTGGATGCAGTTTCACTGCTAAGACAGGTCATTATGAAAATCTATTCCTCAAAACAAAATTGCTTCTATCCATTGTGAGTTAAACTTGATGAATGGTATAAATCTATAAAATATAATTTATATAAGTTCTCAGTGAAAACAAATTTAAGGCTCTCAAGGACATATATATCTTTAACATGATGGTAACAGACTGTGGAAGAGTTGGATGAATTAGGACTGTAGCAATAACTTCTTGATTCCCTCAGCCATATGGCTTCTTCTGATTGCCTGTGATTTAATTCTGAAACAAAGTATTTGCTTCTATTCTTACTTTCCGGTGTTTCCCCTCTTTTTAGCTGTATGATAAAGTTGCTCTAGTTTTTGAAGTGATTTGAACAAGTATGAACCTTGTAGAAATGTTCTATTTCAAAGGATGCTCCATCTCATTAGTACCCAAAAGCCTATCACACTATGACGTTATGGCACAAATATCTTATAAAGAAGCAGCCACTAGTCTGGAGAGATTTTATTTCAAATGAAGAATAAACATAACCTTTTTTAGTTGCACAGACTAGATTGTTCTGTATCTCACCAATCAAAATCTGCTATGAAGAGATATTTTTTTCAGGTAGAAACTGTAAGTGCAGGAATGGTAAAAAATTTGAATTATTTGTGGAAAATTAGAAAACTTTAGTTTATTCCTGGATATTCTGAATTTAAAAAAAAAATCACGTTGATATTCTCATGGCTGAAGCTTGAAAAAAATCAAGTACGAGGGAAATTTGATCAAGTGATGGAGGTTTACGGTATGGCAGATGTGGCATTCAATCCAAGTCCGAATTCGTGCAGTAGTTAGGAGCATGTAGTTCCTGTGTAAATTCAGGAAAAGTTTCATAGAGAAGACTGAATCAAAGATGATCAGTCTCTCGCACTGACACCTCCTGATGGCTTCTTTTATAAAATTGGTTGCTATGTTGATTAATCTCTAGCATAGCCTCTATGAACTGTCAGGCAATGGGAAATTGAAGAATTTGTTTGTTCTTTTCTAAGTGTAGACAGTGAGCTGTCATGCATATAATGAAATTAATTCTGAAAGACATACTGTTGATGTAAATAAGAGGTAAATGAAATGAAAAGTGCTTCCTGCCAGCAGTGTTTCAGCGTCGTTTGTAACTCCTTGAGAAGAGTGCTCTGAGCTTCTTCAGGGGGTTAATAGTCACAGAAGTTTAAATTTTGAAGAGATAGTTATTGATAGATTGTGGAGAAACTAGTGGAGAGTATTGATGAGGTGTGTGATAAGAGGCCGGAGCACCTAAAGAGAGAGAATTGCAGAGATTTCCAAAAGGGTAGGAAGAATTGATCTTGCTCCTCTTCACACAGAATTAATGGAGGATAACTTCACAGATGAAGCGTTCCTGCCTGCAAACAATGACTTTATTTCCTTCAACCTTTGCCCCCTCTTTTCTGTTCTGTACAACAGCGAGGCAGTAAAGGATATTCACGTGGTGTATCTTTAGATGCCGAAGTTGGGTCAGTTTCCTTAGACACTGTATGTAGTTTGGCAGGGAGGGGGAAGAGTGGAAGAGACGACAGGGTTCTGATCAGTTTTTGTTTTGTAATTCCTCTTAATTAACACTGAGATCGCTTTTCCTTAACGTGGCTGACGATCTGAGACTCCTCTCTAATTGATCTAGCTGGTGTTGAATGGGACAAGATGAAGAACACTTTAAACTGACCGTATGCTCTAGTTCTTGTGCCAGATGGTGATCTATTAACTAAAATCAATTAAAATAAAATGGTCAAACTGGCTTGCCTAATATATGGTAGTCTTGACAATTTGTGGCTTTCTGAAAGTAAAATCTTCAATAGTTCAAAGCACTCACGTTTTAAATAGTTCTAAGCAGATAAACTTCAGGCTTTGAATATCCTCCCCTTTTAATGAAGACTAACCTTTTATATCGATATGAACAAAACAATATATGTAAGCAAAACAAAACAAATTTTAAAAATTGTCATTCTGAGTCTGACAAATGAAAGGTAATAATTATTAAGAAAGTCTTATAAAAGTTTCTTTTAAACTGGGTACGATTTTCAAACTGCGTGACTAATGTAAAGTGAAAAAATCTATGGTAAAGAAGAAAACTACCTGATTCTTCTGAGTGATAAGTATCTGTATTGCCTACTGACTGAATCAGGAGCGGCACGTTTTACTCTTCACTGAACTTGTGGCATAAGTAATTTAATTGCGGCTACCAGAATGGGGGGACGGAACAGCTTGAAGTGATCGTTCTAATCCTGATATGTTATCTTTCACAGAAATAAAATGGAGACTTAGCTTAGACAGCTCGTGACATTAGTCTCTGACTTTTTTTTATGATTCCATCCCTAAAGCTAAAATGTTGTATTGGACTTTAATAAATGATCTCATAAGACCCAATTTGTCTTCACCAGTTGAAGTGGTAAGATTGACACCTGATGCACGCACGGAAACAGAGCATCTAAGGGGTTAGGCTCCTACTTATTGTGGAAAGCTCCTTTTCAAGTGACCTAGAGATTTGAACAATAAAGTAAGCATATTCCAGGAGAGGAAAAAGAAAAGGTCTTTTTCTCCTCAGAGCTGTAACAAATTGTAATGTGCAGTATAAAGGATATTCTTTCAGCGTGTATATTAAAAAAAATAATAATTCCCTTATCGGCAGTCTTTACAGAGTATTTACACCATTAGCGAGGAAAGCTCAAGGGAGCAGCCAACATGGAAAAAACCATCGTGGAGAGAGACTAGTGTTGAGGCCGTCAGTATTCAAAGGAGTGTTTTTCTTCCCAGAGAAGTTCTAGAAATCTTCAGCAGATGTTAAAGCAGCAGGTTAGGAGAGTTCTGTCCAAAACCTGTTACGTTGTGAAGTACTAACTCAGCCAGCTAAAACCAGTCCAAAAGTTGCTTCAAGACTGATATTCACAGAATTTCCTACTTCTGTGAATCTTTCAGCTGTAGCAGGTGTTACGATTGGTAGTCTTTGCATACCATATTAAACCAGCTATTTTGTAACAGTGAACCACCATCATAGTCAGTTTCACACACGTAATTTTCTTCTGTTTTCCCTTTTAACTGCCAAGTGCTAAGTTTGTGTTTGTACTTCTTGGTCTAGTATAATGCTGTTGCCTTAATTACTCAGGGTATGTCTTAGGAAAATCGATTCAACGATGATATTGTGCTATAAGCAGTGCTCTTTATACTAGTCTGTACTGCAAAGTGAGATATGAACTTCAGATGTAACTGGAAAAATTGTATTTTCTTCTGAACTTTCTAATTCTTTACACAGATTCTGATCGACGTAAATAGTCAGGGATGTAACAGAAATCTTGCTGTGATGTAGACTGAGTTGATAATAAGCGTTTGTTGGGCCCTAGTATGAATACGTACCCCTTTCTCTTTCTTTATACCTGTCTGCCAACCTTTTTGTTATGCCAAAGAGAAATAAAGCTGGTAGTATTCTATTACTGTGTTTCAGGGATTTCTAATAAATTCAAAGCCAGAGAACGCGTGTGAGCCTATAGCCCCACCTCCATTGAAAGACAACTCGTCCAGTGCTTTTATTGTGTTAATTCGAAGGCTCGAGTGCAACTTTGATATAAAGGTAAGATTTTTGTTGCTGCTGTTGTTGTTTTCATTTTAAGGTCTTAGAGAATTTACTGGTGCTGCAGAAAATATCTGTAGTTAACGTCAGAGTAGACTCTGTGAAGGGAAGAAAGAATGTTATTGTCTGCAGGCAGATAAAGGAGCGTTGTTTGTAATATGATTTAGGTTAAACTTGCGTGAGTTGCCCCACACACTGACTCAAGCAGGTAAATGAGGATGACGCTGTAGTTTTATCATAGAAAGTATTTCAGTTACAATATCAGCTTTTCTTACTGTGAGACAATCTGTTGCCCTCACTTGTACCCTTATGGCCAGGGATTATAGCAGAGGTCATGGAATGGGTATGACTTAAAAGCTCCCCAAATCTGTAAGCCTACTTTTTTTTTTTTTTTTCTTTTTATTGTGTATTTTACAGCTGGGTCATCTCCTTGTTGTGGCTCAGAGTTGAGTCTCCACGAACAATTGCAGTGTCACAGTCGGTTGATGGTGAGAGGACACAGTGTTCTGCTCAGTAGAAACAGGCAGACGTAAACAAGTGGCAGGATGGGAAGGTTTTTAATTGGAACGGCAGTTAGATACCATATTATGAAATATTTTTACTTTAACAATTGTGACCTGAAGCTTAAGTGGAGTATACTCTGTTATGTTAAAAATACACAATTATTTTTGTTTAACTAGGATATATATGGGGCAACAAAGGATACCTTAAGAAAAATAAAGATCTTCAATTCATGATTTTCATGAACTAAAATGAGATCCAACTGTGTTTGCTGCTATGTGGCGTGTTTAGTTGCATGTTGTTGCGATTAAACATGTGAATTCTGCCCAGACTACAGATTCCAGCAGTAAAAGCAGCCGTATTGTTTGGGTAATCTAGCTTTACATCAAGCTCAGGAACTTCACATATTTTGTACTGTGAATCCTCTCACCTTGTGTGTTTATGGCTTAGTGGGAAAAGGGGGGGCAAATAGCTGCTACTTTCACATGTTTTCTTTGACTGTTCGTTTGCTGCCCCTAAGTTGACGGGACAGTTTTACTGCTGAAGATGTTGTTAATGGAACGGGTCAGAAGTTTTCTAACGGAATACTTTTTTAAATCGGAAAATACAACAAGTGCTTGCTCATTGAAAACAGCTTGTTTTGTTGAAGAAATCAGTGTTGTGACAACCAATCATAACTTGCTTGGTTTTCTGCTAATCCTTAGTTGACTTCTTGACTATATGCCTGTGAGATAAAGTCTCTGAGGCCCTTGCGTTTCCAGACTTCTAGCCTAGGTGTTTCCAGGGCTTAATAGCATCACTGCTCAAGAGCCAGCTATCCTAATAGGTAGTCCAAGGGAGTCAGCAAGCCAAGAAACTCTGGAGCTTCATCTCTAGCTGGCATTGTTAGGGTTTAGGATCCACAGGACTATAAAGATCTGGACTCCTCAGGCAGGTGACCGCTGTCCTTGGGCGTTCTGCTTGTGGACTGCTCTGGGGCCTCGAAGTGCATTTCAGAGTCATAGATCATCTGCTGTCTGGCCAGCGTGTCTTCAGCCTGAGAATCTTGCTGCTCTAAGAGTCAGGTGGTCATTGAAGAGAGCTGGCCTGAAAATCTGCATAGAAGTGCGAGTTATGTATAAGCTGTCGGATACATAGGATAGCACAGACGCAGATTTTAACAAGATTTGCTCTTTTAGTCTCGTCTATCCCTTTGTTTTATATGTAAAACTACAAATTCAGGTGAATAGCTGTTTCTTGGTTTTATTACGTATGAATCTTTACTAGGTGTCTTTCCTCCTATGTCTGTCTTCTCATCTAGTGATTTCTTACAGAAAGGGTGATGTCTCAATAGGAGAAGGGTAAAGGCTGGAAGCAACTGAAAGAGGCTCAGGGCTCTGATGTGTCTTCCTTGTTATAACTGATCGCTACTGGTGTTGGTGAGCTGTGTGGGAAAGGACAATAGGTGGTGGTACTGTGATTTGAACTCCTGCGTAATTACAAAACTCATCCCTCAAGCCTGCATTGAGGGTCTGGTCATCACTGACTGTGAAATATGTTTGTCGGCAGCATGCAGGGACTATCCCGTGTTTTTGGCCTACCTAGAAGGTTCACCCAGCAGAATAAACATGATGTAAAATTATGGTACGTGTGGAAATATATATTAGAATGATCTTGGATTATATAAAATTTAGGTAAAGATATCGCATGTTAGAATTCCGCCTCTTTGGGCACAGAAGCCAGCAAACACATTGTTACGTGTACGTCATTCTATGTATGCATCATGCATATTTTCTGTAATGACATAATATTGGGCAGACTCCAGGCCATGCTTCTATCTTTACAACTAACACTGATTTTAAAAATACTGAGAAGCCCCAAGGGTGTCTGTGTATTCCCATAATGTTGTTTTGCTGTTTGGTATAGTCGTTAGGCATGCAGTGAGGGAATCTGAACTGATGCCAATCTGAGGTATGTAACTGTTGAGTAAGGAGCCGATTGTCATGTCCTTATAATGGAAAGTCACTATTTAGTAAGAAACCACTTCCTGAAGCTGTGTCACCCTGTTTAGATGTGTGTTAAAAATGGTTTAATACTTCAGTTGTAGCACACAATGTTTTTATCTTTGGGGCCCTGGGTAGCTAGGGTGAATAGGCAAATGTAGCTGGTTTTACAGCTAGATGGTGCCTTTAAATCTGTGCTCGTGGTAGCACGTGCAGAAGGTGCTTGGCTGTGGTCATGATTTCTGAGCAGTGTGCCTTTGACAGTGAGCCTGTTTTACAACTGTAATATGAGCCCTGTTTAAACTGTTCTATCTAGACAGCATTTAAATGAAAACAGTACTACTTGGAAACACTGCAGGGTAATAGATGTTTTTCTTATTTCAATGCATTGATAGAGGGTGGTGCTGTGCTTAGATAATGAAAAAAACAGTAGTAAAAGTTCTGTTTCTGTTCAAAACAAGGACAGAAAAACAGTTATGACAAGATAAAACAGTAAGTTTCTTTAAAGAAGGGTAGTGATAGACACTCCTTTCTTCCTGCAGGAGTTTGTGGAAAATATTCCAGTGTATATAGTCTTTGGTCTCATAGTGCTCATCTTATATCTCTAGGAATGTTGCCGTTTTCCTATTTAAATAAAAATCCTACAAAAACAAACTAAAATTTACTTTTTAAAAATTCTGCTATTTAAATAAAAATAATAAAAAAAGTCACACCTGGGGTGCTGTGCCCAGTGCTGGACTCCCAGTACAAGAGAGACATGGATGGACTGGAGCAAGTCCAGCCAAGGGCCACCAAGGTGCTTCAGGGACTGCAGCATCTCACAAACGTGGAGAGGCTGTGAGAGCTGGGACTGCTCAGCCTGGAGAAGAGCAGGCTCCGGGAGGGGATCTTACCAGGGCATATACATACCTGATGGGAGGGAGTAAAGAGGATGGGGCCAGGCTCTTCTCAGCGGTGCCCAGCGACAGGACGAGAGGCAACGAGCACAAACTGAAACACAGGAAATTCTGTTTGGACATAAGAAAACACTTTTTCCTGTGGGGGTGGTGGAACACAGGCATAGGATGCCCAGAGCAGTTGTGGAGTCTCCGTCCTTGGAGATATTCCCAGCCCTGCTGGACGCAGGCAGGAGCAACGTGCTCTAGGTGACCCTGCTTGAGCAGGGAGTTGGACCAAAAGATCTCCAGAGGTGCCTTCCAGCCTCAACTGTGCTCTGATTCTGTGATATGAGCTATCAAGTGATAACTTACTTTGATAAACTAGAAGTTATAGCCTTTATTTTCAAATTAGATTAAATATTATTTTTATCTACACATGAGCAGATTTTAATCTTGTTTTTAATGTATATAAAATCTGTCTGCCTACAGATGGCATCTAATGCTTTTTCTGGAAAAATACCATAGAATTGTATGAGTACGATAACTGTATGATTTTGTTTTGAGTTTTCTCTCGTTTCAGAAACGAAAATGAAGTTGTGCTGATATTTAAAATTCCTGAAAGTGCATCCTGACTTACAGAAGACCAACAAGTTACAGTATTTGGAAGCAGTATTAAGTACTTTTTACGTCTTACAGGTTTTAAACGCACAGAGAGCTGGGTACAAGGCCGCGATAGTTCACAACGTTGATTCTGATGACCTCATAAGCATGGGATCCAACGACAGTAAGTACAGGTATCACTTCTTCTCCTGTTTGAAAATCATTTCACCCACCAGAGTATGCAGTATTAAAATCAATTTAAAATATTTTGACCAATTCTCAGTATAAAAGCAAATCCTCCTGCTTTTAATGTTTTAAAATGATATGTTAGTGTGAGAATATGTAGGTATACTTGTGTATTCTTTGTGATGTTACAGTTTTACGTTCTCTGTTTGTTCTGTTTTCCTTTAGATTTTGGTTGAACTCTTCTGGGTTAAATGGTTAAATTTATGAGATAGATTTATATGACTGACATTATTGGACCTACTTGGATAGATTTGTATGATTGACTTTCCTGAGCTTGGGAAATGGCTAGAGTGTGGTTAATTACTTGTGTTGATTGTTTTTTCATGTATTTCTACTTAGTAGTCAAAAACTCTACTGTATCAGAAGGAAATCAAACATTAAAATGCACCTTTTTAATAAGTATTGGCTAGTGCTTCCATTTTGCTGTTGCACTGTTGTGTGCATTTTTTCTGTTCGAGTAAACCTTTCATGTGAACGTATATTGCGTGTACATATTTTCAGTTTTTCAATCGGAAGAAATGCCTTTAGAGAACAATGTGCTGTTTTCTGTGTTGATTCCGATTTTACTCGTTCACAGAATGACTATATACAGAACGTCTTGTAATCTAGCCAAAATGTTGATTTCGTTTTACAGTGTGTTTTTTCCCTGCGAAATATCGCAAAACTCACAGAAAATTTACTGCTGAGAATTTAAGAAGTTTTTATCGTTAAAAATACCATCTTCTTCAAAATATCACTGTTTCTGTAAGAATGTTTAACGCTTACCCAAATGACTAGATCTACAAATTTTGTTCATGTCCATGTAGTGCTCTTATGATTTTCTCTGGCATTTGATTTTTTTTTTTTTGTCCAGTTTCTTGAGCTTAAAATGGAACAAGAACAGTAATGAGAACCAAAAAGCCCTTTCCCAGTATTTGCCAGCATTGAGTAAAATAGGAAATTAACTTTCGGCAAGTGAAGAAGCTGTGTGAATATGATTTTAATAAATTCTCAACCCATGTGAAACTTAAGTTTCAGATTTCACTACAAACTCAAAACGCGGAACCCAACAAACCCCTAATTGAGGTAGTCTGGAGTTATGTTAAGCCATTTGTGCTGACCTGACGTAATTAAAAATATATTGTTTTTCATAGTTTCTTTGGGGTACTGAATGCTTTGATATTGATTTAAGCTTAAGATTCTTTTGACCCTGAAATGTGAAGTGTTAAGTCAGGAGATGCAAATCAACATGAAGCTGAGGAAAAGGTTTTCTGGAATGTGGGATGTGAACTCAGATAGTTAAGACATTTCTAGTTCATACATTACGGATTGCTTCATTGGCTGGCTTTTATCTTTCAGTAATTTTTTCATTTGAGTTGCATCTTTTGAGCTTATTATTGCCATTAGTAATAATCAGAGAAGGAGGTGGCAGTTCCATCCAGTTTCTTGTGAGACTGAAATGAAGAAGTGAGATTCTCTCCTTTCTGCTTTTTGACTTGTTCCAGCCACAGCTGTTTCCAGTGTGCTCATTTATGTTTAGGGGAGAGGAGGGAAGAAGGCCTGATAAAAGCCAGTACCAGCTCATCAAATCATACAAGTTGCCAGAACTTCTGGAGATCAGTGGAGCTGTGTGACTTTCTCAAGCCCAAGGATAATAATGATGTTGTCGTTAAACCTACTCTAATGATACCTGTTCTTGTCAAAAGATTTTTTTATGTCCGTTTTAAATATTCTATTAAGAATTTTGAGCTTTATACATGCAATAAAGCCCCTAGATATTTGGTGGGGAAAATTATACCATTCCTTATGTGACATAAAGGCGTAGCATGCACGTATGTTAGTATATATGCCATTATGTTAACAGATGTCTTCATGTTGTGATTGTCTCATGTTTTGAGTCTTAATGACTATGGGTACTCTTGAGAGTACCCATAGAGCGTCCATGTAATGCTAGTTTTATTTTCCTTCTTTTCTATTCAGTTGAGGTTTTAAAGAAGATTGACATTCCTTCTGTCTTTATTGGTGAGACATCAGCAAATTCTCTTAAAGAAGAATTTACTTATGAAAAGGGGTAAGTTCCCTCACATGCAGTCGCATTGTCCGTTGCATTAAGTCGTTGCCTCTTCTTAGTATTTAGGGATTTAAAAGAGGATTTTGTAATGACAGAGGCTATAGGTATTCCCAGTGAAACCTTGAGCCTATGGAAGTCAATGCCTTGATTTGCTGCCGATTTCACTGAATCTGCAATTTTACCTTCTCTTCTGTTCTGCTTCGTTAATGTGGGATTTTAAGTAGTTATAAACAAGTGGGTGCTTTGGCAGAGTGGCTGATCTGTGATGGTGAAATGAAAGCAGTTGTTGGAACTGTCAGTGACTGAACTGTCTGGGGCAACTGTATGATACTTCACATCATGCCCCAAAGATGAAATCAATCCAATTTTTGTTTTTAATTTTTTGTTTGAAGAATGCTCAGTGAGTACTGCTTATTGACCCTTTCATCCTGAGTGCTACTTTGGCAAGCTTTGTGAGATATTTGAGCTTATTACCACGTTATTAAAGGATATCATGTGTTAGATATGCTTTTTAAAGAAGTGCCATGTTTGAAGTGCTCACTCAGCAGTATGTTCCCAGTTTTCTGCTTTCTGCACTTGCGTCTTGTAAACTAACAGAAAGTTGTAGGTTGAACTATCTGGGTATGTAAAAGTGTGTTAGAAGTTACTTGGGTTTGTGTGGGTCTGGGAGAAGTTGAGAATCGCTCTGGGATTACTTTGTCTGTACTGTTTGGATAGCTCTGAGGGACTGTAGACTATTAACAGTGAAACAGCATGAATAGAATTTTTGTCTGTGGAGTGTATAGAATACTGTATGGATTCAGGAGGGTACTCCATGATTACCAAAACAAAACTTGAATTTTGTACATCTGGAGTTTTACCCCTCTTCTATTAGTTATTGCGGAGAGGAATGTTTGAAAAATATGGATTTAGTTAAGTTTCAGTCTCTAGGATATCAGCTTACAGATCTTCAGGGTCCTTTTGTGCAATGGGCACAAACTGAAATACAGGAGATTCCACTTTAGCGTTAAAACCCCCACCGTTTTCACTGTGAGGGAGGCTGAGCACTGGCACAGGCTGCCCAGAGAGGCTGTGAATTCTCCATCATTGGAGATATTCAGAACCTCACTGGACATGGTCCTGGGCAATCTGCTTTAGTTGACCCTGGTTGAGCAGGGGCGATTGAAGCAGACCATCTCTGGAGGTCCCTTCCAACCTCAGCTATCCTGTGATACTGTGAAACCTTTTTAGGTCTTGAGGTGTTAGGCTTTTTCCTAAGGTGAAATCAATAGCCTATAATTTCCGGACTTGCATGCTTTTGGCATAGGTAGACCTGTTAGTTATTTACCATACCACAGTACTGTTGCTTAATCCTTCTTTCTTCTGTCTTCATTGTGGTGCTGTTAGCCATGCAGTTGGAAGAGTAAATCTTGGAGTTGAGTTGTTGCTAGAGCAAACTTGATCCTTTAGAGGTTAAAGGTGGCAATGCTACAACAGTCCCATCAAACTGAAGAGATGGTGACATTGTAAAATGTAGCGCTATGTGATTAGTGAACCGTGCCCTACAAAGGCCAGGGTTGATATTTATCATCTTTACTGTTTTAATGTTCTGTTTGTGCTTTGGTATTTCTCTTACGTTATTTTTTCTCTTATAAGAAAACTTGGTTATCTCCGAGTAATATAGGTTGGTAAAGGAGTTCAGTTATTTTTCTAGCTTGTGCCAAGTTAAATGATTATACCGTACCACGTAGCCATTATAAATGTCTGTAATCAAACTCTTTTTTGCTTAATACAAAATCTTGATCTTTAAGTAGGTGAGATCAGAGCTCACTGTAGGTACATATATATGAATCTTGAGTCATTGCTCGAGCTGTTTCTGCATGTGCGTACAATCTTCTGAATAAAGTGCAGAAGACTTCAACCTCTGCCTATTTTTGTGAAAGAGTAACTAAGTATTTTGCAACTGGAGGCAAAACAGCTTAAGACCTTCATAACTGTTATCTGTCATATCTGAAAGAAATATTCAGCATCCTAAAGCTGATTATGAAGCTTAAAAATACCTTTTCCTCCAAGCATTGTGCCATGTTTGTTTTGTCCATCCTTTGGTAACAGGACAAAATTTCTGAGAACAATGGGCAGAATACGTTTTAAAAATAAATATAGACTAGCTTTCCTGCAAGAGGGTTACAGTATATCTATCAAATATTTCTCCTTTTATTTTCATATAGCTTTAAATATACTAGAATATATGGCTTAACTAATGTTGTAGGAATCGCAGAAAATATGTTTGCGAGTGTACGCATATTTCAGTTCTAAGGGTAAGTGTATTTATTTTACAACGCGTATCAGTTTCCATTGAAGTAAAATGCTGGTCTTTTAAAGACTTTTTTTCCTTCTTAAACAATGCAGTGATGAAACTACTGACAAGTCAAGACTAAACCGTATGTGTTAATCTGCCTTTTATATAGCATTCTTAATGTATCCATATAAATACTGAAATGGAAAATTTCCTTGGTTGATAGCTTGAATTTCAGTGGGCATCTGTTCAAACCTTATCAGTACTTAACTATTGTCTGACTTGAAGTGTAGTTCTGCTCTGGAATAGATCCAGAAAAATGGGATTATTGATTTTCCTGGTGCTCCCCCATACATTTCTTGTTCAAAACTGTACAAAGTGAATAGAGCTGGGTCATCTCTCTGAGTAGATGTGTAATCATACTGTAGGACTACTGCAGCTGGCTCTTTTCATCATCCTAGTTTTAGAAGAGTTGTTGAGGTATCTTCCCATGTTAGGTGACTCTGCAGGACGCGTTTGAGGTGTATGCTTGGGGTTGCATGATTATGTTTGCACTGCTTCTGTTCAGCTTTTAAGTTAGTTTAAATGTTTGAAAAGAAAAGCATTGTGAGAACAAAATGGTCAAATATATACCTTGAATGGGATGGCAGAGCAGGCGTACTTAGTATTAGTCTAAAGATCTCGCTCCTTCAGTTCGCTCTTATGCCTTCCACTATATTGATCATAAGAACTAGATGGTGTCTTTTTTAAGTAGACGCATTGTTGATGAAACTGCTTGATGAGTGCTGTTCCACGAGTAGTGGTAATAAACCCCCATTATTATTCTGTTGGCACAAGCAGCCAGAAACACCTGATGAAAGTGTCCAGTTTATTTCCTTATATGTCAATAAATACTAGTATTCTGGATATCTGGTTGCCACCATCCACATCAGATTCCACATGTTTTACTCTAGGAAGACTTTTTGTTTTATTGTACCATAATTTGACTCTCCAGAGGACAAAGGGTACGCTTTACCATGCTTCATAATTTGAAATTAAACCTCAAGTGTAACCCAAAATGCATTAGTAAATAAGAGTGATTTCCTGGTGTCTTTTGACGATCATGTTATATTTTCCGCATTCTGATATTGAAGCACCTACAAGATTGTTTTCCATGTTGGTTTAGATTTATGGTTGAAATCAATAAATAGGATTAAAAACCTGGACATCTTTGTATATGAACATGCAAACTTCACTATGTGTTAACTCCAAAAATGTTCTAAAAAGCATTTTGTCCTTTTATTTATTTGACTTTATGCTATATAAATATCAGCTGATTTTTTTGTTGTTGTTGTACACATGTAGGTATACCGCTAGTGTATCTACTGATAACCTTTATTTTGTGTTTTTCATTGTATTTATTCTGTATCACTGTTCATTAAATTCTAACCTCCTTAGAAAGTGATATCTTTTCCTCCACAGTGGCCATGTTGTGTTAATCCCAGAGTTCAGTCTTCCTTTGGAGTATTACTTAATACCTTTCCTAATAATAGTAGGGATCTGCCTTATTCTCATCGTGATATTTATGGTAAGTTCCTTCTTTTTAATAACTTATTTTCTTTCAAACAAATCATCATAGATGTATAGGTTACTGAAGTTAAAATGAAGGGGTACAGTAAAAGAACCAAGAAAGCTTTGTGTATGGTATTTACCTGTACTGTGTTTACCTGAAATCACTTTTTTTTCCTCAGTGTAGTAAACAGCTGCACCTCTTGGCAAAGGGATGTCAGAAGCCCTTAGGATGTCCTCCCCAGCATATAACTCCTTATGAAGAACTGTCCTCACCCCTACCCTTCCACCTCACAACCTTTTTCCTCTTCCTTCCCAAACAAACAACCTGTTCCTGTGCTCTCATATACTGAGAGCGTGTCGCACCTCATCAACCTTGGGCTGCCTAATACACATTAGTTCTGCTGTTCCACAGTGCAAGTCTCTCACTGTTGTTTACTGCAGGTATAGTAATCGTTCTGCAAGCTCAGAAACTATTACAGTGTATAGTATGTGTCTTACTACATATACCTTACCTATAGAGATTCTTATTTGGGCTCATGTCTCCTATGAAAGGCAAAATAGCACAACTCTGCGTTATTTCAGAATATTTTGCGTACCGCTTTTTTGAATCTCTGCTGGGCTCTGACCAAAATATTAACTTACCTGATTTTTAGCAAAAGAAAAAGTAATACAGCAACTGCCCTGTAACGTTTTCTTAAAAATATTTCTTTCCGTGCTAGTGTTCTTTGCATTGTCAGTTATGTATTTAAGTGACGCTCCTAGGTGCATTTGGCACAATCAAAATTGCAGAAGCTCTCTGAAACCAGAGCGTAGAAAAGTGATCAACTAGAGCTGATGTGAAATCCACCAATACTTTGTCTGACCCATCACTGATAGCCTTGATCATTCTTCTTTATCCCAGTTAATTAGGTGAAAGCGTAGCTCTATCCTTGTATCCTGAGGGTCAGCAGACTCGGGTAAGAAGAGATAGGTAACACTGAAGGAGAGCGGTCACCATGGATAATATTCTGTGGACGTTTGTTGTTCTGAGACGGTCAGAATTCCAACTCGAGCTCCATTATTCATCTACTCAGAATACACCTGCAGTCAAAAATTCGACCAAGATCCTGGCTATCTAAGGAAGGGAATGAAGAAGAATATGAAAGTCACTGTGGTATTGTAAGCACTGGCTTTGACTCCTATCAAAATATGGTGTGAAGTACTGTTCCCTCATTTTCCAGAAAAGATATTAATCAGGGAATAAAGATAAAGACAGTAAGAATAGTTAGGGGGCCTCTGGTTTAAAGAGATTTAGAAAATTACCATTACAGGAAAGATGAATAAAGGAGGGGGGAAGATGTGAAAAATATAATAATAATAATAATGAGGAGTGGAAGCTTTACTTCTCTTTCTGAATGTCCACAGTTGTCATGGTAATAGAGATGTCTCGAAAATAGAAAGCATTCTTCATATTTTCTTGGAGAATTTTTCACTGGTTCACCAGTGCTTTTCACCAGTTTCACCAGTGCTTTTGGTTTTTGACGATGTTAAGTAAGTTCCAAAAATTCCTTATGGACTAGAGAGCTGTCATCTGCAGGTCAAGAAATAAACTTCAATATTGACTAATTTGCATGAATCGCTTCAGCAAAGAATAGGAGTTGTGTTGCAAACACAAGACTGATCCCTCTGAAAGGCCATCTCTCTTTAGAATTGCAGCTGTTTCCCTCACCCTGAAAACCACAGCATCACAGGTGGCATTAAACATGTCATAGGAGTGGGGTAAACGAATCTGAAAGGTGTTTGTCTTTAGGAGGTAAATAAACTCTTTTGCAGAAGCCGTAGGTGCCAGTTCTTTTAAATTAGCCTTTTAACAGCTGGATCTTTTAAGAGCTGATACTCTGAATTAAAGTATCAGCAGAGCTGGTGCTCTGAATTAAAACAATTTTTTACTACCTAGGTAAAATGCAGAGTTGTGATACTCAACGGATACAAATTCTAAATCAAATGTATAGGGAAAACTATCTGTGCAACCCTAAAGGAATGACTAGATGCTAGGTAGGATTGGCTATGAGGGGAAGAAATATATACTTGGTGAGGAGAATTTGAGGCACTTGAGCTCATCTTTAATTTCCTTGCTTATGCAATTTCAGGTAGACCGTCCTCCAAATAATGTTTGTCCATATCGCTCATACATAGGTTGTGAGCTTATTCAATTTTACGTCGTTTGTTGTGAAGTACAGCAATGCCTTTTAGTGATTCCCAAGCTGTGAAATACTAATGCTATTTATAATATTAATATTCACCCAGTGTTTACCTTATCCACAGGCAAAGGTAGAGCACCTACATTTTTAGCTACTTTGCCTAAAAGCTCTGCATTTTTCAAAAGACTGTTTAGTGTGTATGCTTTTGTTAAGGCCATTTTGTCATTTGTATTTGTCATTGTTGTTGAAGAAGAATGTCATACCACAGGTGCTAAAATTAGACTAGAAATAACATTAAGAACTATTAAGAAAAGCAAGATACTATAGCTTGAAGTAAAGAGCTCCTTCCTTCCTCCCACCAAACCCTAGGTACTATGAAAACAATTCTGATGAACATGGGAATAATCCTCTAAAAGAGCTGTACTAATCTAAAGCTGCTGTAAGCGAAGCCAGTCAAGTTTCATGAATTGTATTTTGCCCTAAAACGTGCCATCCATTGTACTTGGACCTCAGTAGGAGATTGCAGCAATGGACGTTATTTTATATAGTATGGACGTTATTTTCTTTCTTTCCTTTTAAAGAAAACTTTATATATATATTTTTTTGGTTTCAAGTGCCATGGTCATCAAGAACACTACTGCTTTAGGCTTTCCTTGTCTGGACTCAAGGACGAAGCCAAACAAGAGATGACTGTTTGAGCCAGGACTTCCTCCTGACTAACTTATAGTGACTACTCATGAATAACAACTTCTATTTACAATTTCTGTTTTTCTTTTACTGTTTTAATTTGCTGTTCATGTTGTCTTATTTATTCCTGTTTCCAGATCACAAAATTTGTGCAAGACAGACACAGGGCAAGAAGAAATCGGCTTAGGAAAGATCAGCTTAAGAAACTTCCTGTACATAAATTTAAGAAAGGCAAGTGGTTCTTTCTGTGTCTAAATAATTAGACCCCATTGTTTTTAACACTAAAAAGTCTAAGCAGAGGGGTTTTGTCACTTTTGAGACAATTTTGAGTATATTGGAGATAAATAGTGGAGTTTGAAGTGAAAGTACACAAAAATATTTTGACCCTGCTCTCATTGAAATAAAGAGGAGTTTTAACATTTCTTCACTGGAAGCAACGCAGGCACCCTATACTGATCGTGGCTGAGAATTAAAATATTCTTTAGTGTACCACAAAACCGATACAGAAATTCCACAAAATTCCTTCTTGTTCTCTTGTTAACAGCAACCACAAGAGTCGGTCACTGTGTGATGCACTATTCCAATCGTTTGTCAGCAAATGAATAAGTATTTGTGGCATGTAAATTCCCTGACACTGTAGAGACTATAAAAGCAGAACTATTTTGTGGGTGTAATTTACCCACTGTTGCAGAGGGGTGGTCCTTTCATTCCATCACAATGCTTTTAGGAGGGCAGAGCAATTAAAATCTAATCCTAAAATATTTGCTGCTATGATTCTTTTTAGTGATTCATTGTATGCAAGATCTAATGAAAATATAAGAAATAAAGCCACAGTAAGTTACTTTATTCTGTGAAACAGAAAAAGCTGCCTTAAGTCTTTGTGTATTTCAGTCTGTTCCTTAAAAGAACAAAATTCTTCTCCATTCCATTTTTTTTAAATGTGTTGTCGTTTTACTATCTGATTGGTGGTTCATTCAAGCTATTGCAAAGTGTGAAAGGAAAAGGTAGAAAGGGAATTTCATCAAAATGACACGTTAGTAGGCAGTGTATTTGCCTATTAACAGATACCATGTTAGGGAATACCCTTGGACTCAAGGATAGAGCCACGTACCGTTCTTTGCTCTTGATAAAGTCGACCTGCGTTATTAACAACACTACTTTGTGCAGAGCAGATGTTCAGTTTGAGTGGACCCAGCTTTTGTGCAATGTTACCCTTTCTCAAAGAAATGAATTTTTTTTTTCTGTGGGGGGTTGATGAACCTTGGTGTAGTGATTTATTGCTGTGGATTTAAAATTGACACGAAAGAAATGATCTTGAGCCAACAAAACTAATGTTTGTTCCCTTTTAGTGATTCCACATGAAAATCTAACTAAAACGAGATACGTCATATGCATATACTGGACTTCATCTTAAACTCTGATATTTCTGAGGGAATAGCTTCCAATATGAATTGTCTGGAGCTCAGTCAGTCATCATATAGTATTATCTAGCTGCGAAGGTCCAGAGGAACATACTGTACTCAGCTTCTGGTGCCTTCAGGTAGCCACTGCTATGAAAAACAGGACAAAAAGCTTATTTTTTCTATTTCAGAGATGTCATACTAAAAACTCCTATTTTCCAGAGACCTATGACCATACCAGCAACTTTGCATAGAAAAATATCCGCCCAATTTGCATAATATCCAGGACTGTGGTACCTTGGGTCTCAAAGCAGTCCAGAAAGGGTGAACGTGTTTCTGAGAAAATGTGTTCACTATTATGCTTTCAACTTATCACTATTCATGTATACTATAAATTTAGTGTTTGAAAATAGGTCACTTACAAAAACTGTCACTTTAGTTTATGTTCCTATTTTTATGCGATACTGAAAAATGTCCATGCAACATAAGCTTATGCTGATGCCATAAATGTGCTCTGTGCTCTTGTTGACTGGTTCTTGTATTCTGGTACTAGATAGATACGTTAATAAATTTTATTTTTTGTGCAAATATACTTGGTGCGACAATATACTGGAAGGAAACACTTCTGTATTTTTATGAAAAAATGAGACATCATGGAATCATTTAAAAATAGCAAACGTGGACGTTTTTAGAAAGAGATTTTCTCTCCCTACTGATCACCTTTATTGAAATGAGCTTGTGACTGAACTATTTAATAATGATTTTATAAATTCTTGTAGCACATGGATCAAGTACTTGTATTTCCCAAGGTGCCTGCAGCACCTTGTTTGTCAGGACATGTTCTGTCTAGATATTTGTTTTAATTAGGATAGTAAGAATAGCAAACTGATGGTGAGATATTCAAGATGCCATTAATATCTGACTTGCGCTTTGCTGAGCTCTCTGTGCTCAGATGAAGAAGGAATGATGAGAACCCTTGTATTTCACAGCTGTGACGTTTTTGCTGATGAAGTATTTTCAGATTTCCCTTTTAGAAGGGATTCAACACTTTGCCTACTTTAGCTGTGGATCAGGCCTGGAGTTTATCTGTGAGTCCTGGTGGAATGCAAAATATAAATTGAGAGCAAAGCTGGACACTACCCTGCATCACCACATTCAGAGTACTGGAGAAAATATCAGCGGCTTTGATTCATGAAAGTAATGCGCTCAACTCTAAAGTATGTAGGTAGCGGTCATGGGGAGGTTGAGTCTTTGCTGCAGTTTAGTGGTAAGGCATCTCCAGAAGAGCTGGAGTTTCATCTTTCTCTTCTCCAGTGCAGAGGATAAATGGAAACAAAACAAAACATGTAAAGGAAAATAAGGGGTATAGAAAGCAAAGCAAAAGTATATTCCGAATAAAAATAAAAATATCTGTAATAAAAAAAAAAAAGCAAAATACCTCTGAAATACCTCTGACCATTTCCTTGCTATGTGGAAGTCAATGAGGTTGAATTTAATCTCACTTTCTTCTGTGATTGTGTGACAGTAACTAGCTCTTCTATGCTCATTAGAGTTGAAATGTCAGCTTTTGGAATAATTCTATCAGGAAGAAATAGCTGGGAGAAAATGATCCTCTGAAAAAAGCTAAAAGTTATTGCTTCCTTAGTCTTACAGCTTATAGTGCTAAATAAATTTCTACTTCACTTTTTCTATCAATACATCCAAAATCTTAAGGTATTAGATGATCACTTATATAATCTAGAGAGAATGAATTCTGTGGTTATATATGTGTAATCTTTGCTGATCCAAATTCTGTTCTGAGTTAAAATAACGTAAAGATGGATTGATGTCAGCACGATCATGCTAAATTCATGTCAGCGTTTTAAGAGCCAACTCAAACTGTTACTCAGATGCTTGCTGTTTTATTTTTACATCTGCCATTTTTATTGTGACATTTTAATTCATTGAGTCTTGAAATGTGAATTTATTGTATTTTTCTTCCCTCTAATCCTGGTAATTGACCAGCTCATGATAAATTGGATAGGTATAATGGCAGACTTACCCTCAGCTCTGAGAATGGAGGAGTGTCTAACTGTATTGTTAGGAGCACGGAAAATGCATTGTTTCTCAGGGAGACGTGATTCCTTTCCAAGAACTTGTTTTGTGCTGGTGAGGAGAGGTATAATTACCATGCTTTTTAGGGTATAGCATACGCTTGCTTGCTAAACAGCATGTAGCACAATCATTCTGCCTACATACCGCTCGCTTCCCGAGTGGGTAGCGTTACAGAACAGCCAGCCCCAGTTTACCCTCCAGTGCCCAAAGCCATTGTCACAGAAGCTTGTAGGCAACTGCATTAAAAGCCAACGGATCTTGCTCCCTGTGGAGAAATAGGGCACATCTAACCTTCGCTAACCAGCCCAGAAGTTTTGAATTATCTTCCGCTGGTTGTCAGCAAGGAAACTATAACTTAGTGACTGAAATGAAGCCTTGAGCTGATTTTAGTATCTCCTTGTGAAAAAGCACCCTCTTCTGTGGTTTAATTTTACAAAAGCCTTTTGCATTGCATTTTAAAACAAAACATTTTGGTACTTCATAGCTTGTCTTCCGAATTTTTTGTCCAATGTACAAATTTCTGGAAAAGTTTTAAATGTTCAAGTGTTTGTTCCTCTTTTTTTTTTCTTTTGTTCATGCTAAATTTGATACTGCGTTATGGGTAAAACTAGCAGCACTCCAAGATGTGCTTGAGGAATGGATGGGTAATACAAGTTGTTATAATAGATTGCCATTGGTTTATCTAAATAGCTTTTGTTAAATTGAAGCGTATAACATTGCATATCACAGCCTGGGTTGTCTTATAAGGAATAAGAACAGTTAAAATAGTTCAGTTTTGGCACTAAGCGCACGGAAATCTCATAACCCCCATGACTTCCTGTATTTCTTTACTTCTTTACCCCATGCCACTGTCTTCTGCTCATCTCCATGTTTAATTTCTTTACGTATTCCTATCGGTAGCCTAATCCTCCTATTCTTCTACTCTCTTCATAACCTCAAGCCTTTTAGCCCTAGAAAAACATGATCCTCCCAGAAAAGTCAAATGCGTAGCATCATCGGCCACCAATAGTATGATAAAAGGACGTGCTTTGCACCCCAGCCTCTGTGTACTCTCTCCAGTCTGTCATCCAGTGGACTCCAATCTCATTTATGTACTCTCTAACCATATTCCACTACCATACGGGCAGCATACGGTCTGTCTTCGCTTTGTAGACTTGTCCAGTTTTTGCTTGTTCTGATCCTCTAGCTGTACACAGTGCATGACTGATTCCTCTTAATTCCTGTTTCTGCATGTAAGAGACTAGAAGACAGTGACTGAGAAAATAAGTAGTTGCCAATTTGAGGAAAGAAGGGATTCTCACTTTAGTAGTTGTATGATGCTGTTACGCCCTTGAAAGGGCATTACTCATTCCTTTGCGGTAATTCTGAGAAAAACCCATCTCATGTTTTTCAGAGTCACTTTAACTTTCAGGTCAGGATTCACCTGTTGGCTAGCTGAGCTGTTAATGCTGAAGTTCCAGGAAAGTCCTTTGTAAACAGATGACTCGCTATGGACTTCTTTTAATTGGCCTTAAGTTTTGGTGCTTACACTAATATCTTCCTTTAAAATCTGAAAAATGGCATTTTCGTTTCTTTAAGCAAATGATCACTTCAGTCATATTTCTTTTAAATTAATCCCTCATATTACTTTCTTCAGCCGCTTTTACTAGAAGGACAAAGTTTGACCCAGTACTTGCTCTACATCACCTTTGGCAACACAATCAAAATATATTGCTTCATGCTTCTTTGTGAAAGATAGGATTTCTCAAGACATTAATGCAAAATCCATTCACTTAAGTCTTCCTGATGATAAATCTTTCCTTTGCCTTTGGAAGGATAACTGAAAGCAACTCCTGAGGGCTATAATACTGTTTTAAGGAATGCAACTCCTCAGTCATGCAGAAAAGGAAATATGGTAAGTTTGTGAAGACAGAATACTGGACAAGAGAGATGTGTAGGCGTATTATTAAGAAATGTGTAAAGCCAGTTTTTTCTACATGGGGTGTTAAACATTAGGATGCCAAACCAGTGGTTAGATACCTGACAAAGGATTTGGAGTTTTGGAGTTGCTACATCCACAAGGCCTCTAGAAATTGGGCTGTTTGCTTAAATCTGTTTAAATATAAAATAAAGAGCTTGCTTTAGGCAGTCAGCTTTGAAAATGCTTGTATTTTACCTATGCAGGGAAAGAATCGCCAATATATGTGACAACTAGTAGGCAATAAGAGTATGTACGATTTTAAGCAAAGACATATTTTTAAGTGCGCTGGATACTGAATTTTTATATGTGTGTGCATATAGATAGATATGATTGAGATACATTTTAGATATCTAAAATGCCTTTTTAAAATCTGCCCCAGAGTAAGTATGGTTCTGCTGTTTACTAGGTATTCCTAAATTATTTTTCTCCTGCAGATGGTATTATCACTGATCTAATTACTCTTCATTACTGGCCCATCTGCCTGGCCACACACCTACAGTGTAGGCCTAATAGGGAAAACAAGTCATAAGGTCTGCCAAATTTCTCATTGTTCACAGGTACACGGCTATATGTGATGTACATAGATGGGTAATTTCTGAAAATATTTTTGTATTTATATATGCCAAGCAGTTAGAGAATTTTGCTTACTAAAGATTTCTGATACACAATTTTTTTTTTTTCAAGTTGTTTCCAAAATTCCTTTCTCCCCTCTCTTTTTCTTTTTTGGCGGTTCTGAGACAGCTTCTAGAATACACGTTTTCTGTATTTCAGAAATGCATTTCTGCCAAGTAATTTTTCTAGATCTACCGAGAAAGTGTACTGTTTTTTGGCAAAGTGTGTTGTTAGAGTTTTTATTTTGTTCAATATGCAATTAATGAAAAATTCAGGTCAAGAGGCTTTTTAGAGTTTTGCCTTCAGTGTATAACACTTTCATTTCATGCGTTAATGATCTTATTCTGAGCACCTACACAAAAACACGGTACATCTTTGCCTCTTTCCCGTCATTTTTCCCTGAAAATTGACTTCCATATAATACTTGAAATTTGAGCTGGCGTTAGGGATTAATCTTTTGTGCCACTCTACCTCACTAATAATGTTTCTGAGTCACCAGTGTTGCTTCGATCAGTCTTCTGCAGCTTCCCTGGAAAGCTCGGCCCCTGTGCTGCTGGTGCCCTGCTCTCGTTTGCCCTGCTGTGATGTACGCGGTCTCCCGGGCTCCGCGGAGCAGCCACAGAGCACAGAACGCGCAGAGTTGCATGTGAATCCTAAGTGTTACTTGGAAAAGTAACTCTAAACAGCTTACGTATCTCACTTTGCCATCTGTAGAAAAGCATTGAGTTTAGCAGCATGCTATCCAAACAAATTTTGAGCTGAGTTCCAGAAATGTTCTGCTCCCTTATAGTAAAGGGAAAGCTCCGCTACTGTTTTAGAAGCGTTCATGTTTAGAGGCCCTCTCTTCAGAGAAATGCAAAATCTGCCTGCTTCCTTCATTTGCAGGTTTTTTGATAATATAGGGTAAGTTCATGACCCAAATGTGGGCCTGTTGTAGCTGGACTTTCCCAAGATCTGCCCCACTTTCTCCACTTCTTCCTCAAAACAGCACTTTCACAGCATGTCGCGTGTTTTATCAACAGCTTTTTAATAAGCTTGGAGCTTGAGCTGTGACTCCGATTTGTCCCCAGTTGATCTCAGTCTCATGCACGTAACCTGGGCAGTGCTTTGGGAAGTAATACTGGAATTGTTAGGAAAAAGGATCTTACAGGCTGGGCTGAACAGTCGTGTGTCACAGAGATTACCGTGCGATGTATGTATATTGAAAGGTGAGCCAAGCAGCTGTTTAGATTAGATGAATGATTCTTGTTGTGGCCGTTAGCTGTAGCTGTGACCCTAGCACGCTAAGTCTGAAATCTCCTATGTCAAATCTGAGCGCGAAGGTCAGTAGTGGAATTTTAGTACAGCAGATGGTCCAGAAGGCACTTGAGCAATTTGTAAAAGTTTACTGGGAGAGGATTAAGATGAGAATGGGAGGAACAGGAGTAATAGGTTTCTCTGAAAGACAGAAAATTGAGTAGCGGGGATGAATGCCTTGTAGGTGACAAGATCACAGAGGCCTCATTTCTCTTTCAGGGGTCTCTGCCTTACTATATGCTCTTCCCCTTTTTATATTCCAGTGTATGAGAGAGTCCGACCCTTCTCTGTACATATCCTTTCTATTGGGATCTGCGTCTCCTTGCTTTCCTACCTCCTCTGCTGTGCAGTAAAACCCAGGATCTTAGCCCTGAAGATAGCGAAAACATAAACTATTGAGCACTGGGAAAGTAAGGAGCTAGTGTGAAGTTGGTACAGTTTGGGAACAGGCAGGCTTGGTGAGCTAGGACTGCTAGTATGAATGCTTGGCCAAAACATGCAGAGAGAGTGACGTAATAAGAACGTTAGAGTATTATAGAGATAGCACTTAAAACGGTTTAAAGCATTTTTATTAACCTGAACCTGAAGGGAAAGCTAACGAGCTCTAGTCCTAGTAAGGAGAAGAAAAATACAGTGAAGTCAACTATACAGCCCCAAAGAAACGGAAAGGATGGGGAGGAGTTAGTAGTTCCCTTAACTCATGAAACTAGCCAGTAGAGCTTATGTGTATGTGTTTGCGAAGGTCTGTTGTAAATCTTTTGCTGTAAAACTAATTCTCAGTCTTGTGCTGCAGGAGATGAGTACGATGTATGTGCCATTTGTCTGGATGAATATGAGGATGGAGACAAGCTCAGAATCCTTCCGTGTTCTCATGGTAAGAAGCTGTATTTTAGGTTTGGTATTTGCATTAAAAAAGCTATCTAAGACACTTTTTTGTCTAAAAATCATAGTGAATGTGTTTGATTTATAAAATTTATTTTTGCTAATATGCCTGAGTGCATATACAACTCGGGGAAAACCAAAATAAAAAAGATAACACTACCACTTTGCCTTCTCTTTGGATGTACACCTAAGAGAAAATCTTAACGTTTTATTAAACATAATTCAGCTGACTACTAGTGACATGGAGATGTGGATGAATGTGAGAGTCTGTCCAGTAGAATGAAGATAAGCCATATAGACTTGTGCCTTGACTGCACTTGGAAGTCATATTACAGCCATTTTGGTTGGATGGAGTTTTAGTCAGCTTCTTATTAAATTCCTGCTCTGACTTGACGTTGCAAAAGCAAATACCACATCGCTGAGATGAAAATGAGGCAACTGATTTGACAGTCTCACAAACACATTGAACAGAACAGATGACTGAGCTTTGCAAAACCTCATTCCCAGAAAACAACTTCTGAACAGGCTGACAAACGATAGGGACGTCTCCAAGGAGAAAGAACAGAACCATCTATCCCACCTAGGGACTACAAAGTTAACTGAACCTGATCACTGATACCAAAGGTTCCTGACAAACTGAAAAACATCACCATGAATTCTTGTGGAGAACATGCTACTAACATGCATGAAATAAAATGTTAAACATGATATGCTTCCCCTTGTCTAGCTACTCATGTTGAAGGTTGTGGTTAAACCTAGCTCTCTGCCAGTTAGAAGTCTCTGTTAACATGTACAGCTAAGTTTTTAATATCATAATTACAACACTTGCAAACAAAGTTTTCCTGAATTTAAACAAGGCCAGTACGGTTGCTATGCCAATTTTAAACCCAAATTAAAATTTGCAAAGTTATGTTTTTTTCATTTAATAACAAGGTGCTTTGATACCGCCCCCTTGGAGGAAGGGGGTGGGGGTTTAGAGGCATTACGAGAATAATGATGGTGGGCGGCAGGTATGCCAGCAAGGTGGTTGTACTTCCTCAAGAAGCTTTTAAAGATTATTTTATCAAATGCGGCTCATTGAAGGAGCGCCCTCAGACTTATTCAATAAATAGTTATTTATTGTGTTATTTGTAATAGTGTTTAGAACTAGGTCCAAGATCCTTATCTATTAAATGTTTTGTCCATAAGGATGGATACGGCCTTCATGCCAACAAACTTACAACTGAAATTCTCTGTATGAGAATGTCATAGTGGTTATTTTAACATAAATACAATTTAGTGGATTGATTTGTCCTTTGTACTTGGATAACGATGCACTTGTATTTTGTTTTCTAACAGCATATCACTGCAAGTGTGTGGACCCATGGCTGACAAAAACCAAAAAAACATGTCCTGTATGTAAGCAGAAAGTGGTCCCTTCTCAGGGGGACTCAGATTCTGAAACGGACAGTAGTCAAGAAGAGAATGAAGTATCTGAAAATACTCCTTTGCTTAGGCCGTTAGCCTCGGTTAGTACTCAGTCATTTGGGGCTTTGTCAGAATCTCGTTCCCATCAGAACATGACCGAGTCCTCAGAATATGAGGAAGATGACAATGACAATATTGATAGTAGCGATGCAGAAAATGGAGTAAATGAAGAAAGTGTAGTGGTTCAACTGCAGCCCAATGATGAAAGGGAGTACAGAGCGGCTAATACTGTTTGAGACTACTAATGATGAAAAACATGTGAACAAAAGAGTTCTTATGGCTATATTTTACACACATTTACATAGGGAATATATTTTATTTTGTAATTCATTTGGTTACTACTTCAGTAGGAGCAGCAGGTCATGTAGTTTAATTATACTACAGATTTATTTTTGATTCAGGTATTCAGTCACACATTCTGTCTTGTCAACATGAACAGTTTAACTGGATTTCACAATGCTAATGAATAATGTTAATAGTTTACATCAACAGAAATGTCACACTGACTCTACTTTAAATGTCAGTATCTTGTTGAAATGGGATTTAGCTGGAAATAGTTTGTTTTTTTTCCCCCCCGTATTATGTTTTGTAGGTACAACTGGGTCATACTGATAGCAATATTTATTTATGTGTATGGTGTTACCCCTTAAGCCCAACTAAAAATGTATTTGATGCATGTTTGTATAGGGTTTTCCTAAAAGCTGCCACCACTCCTGAAAGAAAAATGTAGAACAGATCAGTGCTCTATATGCTGATATATCAAAACAAAGCAGCAGAACTAACACTTCTATCTCAAAGCAGTGATTCCAAATAATCCTTTGGCATTTGCAACAGCAGCTGAGTTTAAGCAGTTCTTTTGAGCAGTTCCTAGGATAAGGAAACTTATCTGTTTAGTTTTAAGTAATTCACAAAGTAAGGTCCATCGTTAACACATTAACTGGCCCTATTTGCTACTACCATGTAGTCTAGTTTCCTGTGATTATGTGCAAAATGTGGGGGTGACCAAAACAGAAAAGACGAGAGAAATTCCACATAGAAAAAAAAAAAAAATTAGGTAAGTTATTCTATTGGTCCTCAGTCATACACCTCTTACTAAAGAGCATTTTATGCTGCATTAGTCTGCTAAACTATGTACATAGAAAAGTTGTTCTTTTCAAATATCTGATTTGAAAACAAGTGCTTATAACTATTTAACAGAACTCAATACTTAACACTGTATCATGAAAAAATAAATTATATATAATACCTCTGTAACTATGTAGAAAGTAACAACACATCTGTATAATCAAAATGCAGAGATCTTTTTATATGGCCTTGAATAAGGAAGCTTGAAAGAATGTTAATAAACATGTTTTCCACTTTAAGGATCAAAAGGAATTTATTTAACTTTTGCATTACTTACTCTTTACATTTATTGCTGTGTATACAATGAATGTGAGTTTAAAAATGTTTAAAGATCCAGAACACCTACCTGTTAAGATCCCTTAGTAACAGTAAGTCACCTACATGATACTATGTATATACTGATCAACAATATATGCAGTGAAACTGAGTTACTTAGAAAACCTTAATTTGGGTTCACTTAATGAATTTGTGAGTTCAGAGCAGAAGCTTCAGTCGCTCTAGGTCTTTGCATGTACTTTGCATGGGGGAGAGGGGGAAGACGACCAGAGTACCGTTAATATTTCCTGCCCACCGTGCCAAGACCTTTACAGCTGGAGATCGTATGCCTGTGTTCTGGAAGTCAGAAAACACGAAATCCTGGGCTGAGCAGCTTACAGGTGAGGCATTTTCAATTGTTATTTCTGACCTAATGCACAGTGCAGCTATGCCCTCCTTGATTACAACCTGGGAATGGAAATCATCTCTCTTGGACTGGCTAAGAGCCAAGAAGTTTAATTAGACTTCTCAGAAGGAGGCATGGCAAAAAGATAATAACTGAAGAATGATTTGTCTTCCAGCTACTGCCACCATGGGATTAGGGCCAAACAATGTATTATATCTCCACCCATAAAATTCCATTATACAGTTTAAAAATGAGTATTACTTTCACTCAAACTTACAAATATATAGTTATGCCCAAGTACGAAAACTGAATTCTGAAAAATTACGAAGCAAACAACTTGGCTGAATAGGTTCCTGCTGTTCGTATGCAATGAGTGCACGTGAGTGTTTATTCACATAGTAGTTCAGGTGCCCCAAAACCTGAAGTGTGTGTGAACTGAAATAAACTTCATAACATATGGCATGTGCAACCCTGATTGTAGTATTTGCAGCAATGAAAAAAGTAAAATGATACTCTTACCAGTTTCTCTCCTGCTACTCTCCATCATATCACTTGCTTCATGCTTTTCCTATATAACTCCATTTCCATACGAAACCTAGTGTGTATGTTGGTTTGTTCGGTTTTTTTAATTATCCCATTTTATACCTTTCCTAATGCTGTGAACATAAATTTATTTCAGCGGGCCTTGGCAATAAACACTGCAGTGACACCTCCTCAATATAGTTTACGTGTATGTGGCCATTGCCTCTGAGGAAGAAAATGAAAATAAAAGAATAACATTTTATATTATAAATACTTCAGAAGATTAAAGTGCTGAGGGAGCTGCTGGCTGTTATTGCTAGGCCACTCTCCATCATCTTTGAAAGGTCCTGGAGAACAGGAGAGGTGCCTGAGGACTGGAAGAAAGCCAGTGTCACCCCAGTCTTCAAAAAGGGCAAGCAGGAGGAGCCAGGGAACTCCAGGCCTGTCAGCCTCACCTCCATCCCTGGAAAGGTGATGGAACAGCTCCTCCTGGAGGTCATCACTAAGCATGTGGAGGACCAGAAGGTGATCCGGAGTAGTCAGCATGGATTCACCAAAGGGAAATCATGCTTGACCAATCTGATAGCCTTCTATGACGGGATGACTGGCTGGGTAGATGAGGGCAGAGCAGTGGATGTTGTCTACCTGGACTTCAGCAAGGCTTTTGACACTGTCTCCCATCCCATCCTCCTAGGTAAGCTCAGGAAGCGTGGGCTGGACGAGTGGACAGTGAGGTGGCTTGAGAACTGGCTGGATGGCCGAGCTCAGAGGGTTGTGGTGAATGGCGCAGAGTCAAGTTGGAGGCCTGTGGCTAGCGGTGTCCCCCAGGGGCCAGTCCTGGGTCCAGTCTTGTTCAATATATTCATCAATGACCCGGAGGAAGGGACAGAGTGCACCCTCAGCAAGTTCGCTGATGATACTAAACTGGGGGGAGTGGCTGACACACCAGAAGACTGTGCTGCCATTCAGAGGGACCTGGACAGGCTGGAGAGCTGGGCCGAGAGGAACCTCATGGAGTTCAACAAAGGCAAGTGCAAGGTCCTGCACCTCGGGAGGAAGAACCCCATGCACCAGTACAGGCTGGGGGTTGACCTGCTGGAAAGCAGCTCTGCAGAGAAGGATCTGAGGGTCCTAGTGGACAATCAGTTAACCATGAGGCAGCAATGTGTCCTTGTGGCCAAGAAGGCCCATGGGAGCCTGGGGTGCATTAGGCAGAGTGTTGCCAGCAGGTGGAGGGAGGTGATCCTGCCCCTCTCCTCAGCCCTGCTGAGGCCTCACCTGGAGTACTGTGTCCAGTTCTGGGCTTCCCAGTACAAGAGAGACATGGCACTGCTGGAGAGAGTCCAGCAGAGGGCTACCAAGATGATTAGAGGGCTGGAGCACCTCTCCTAGGAAGAAAGACTGAGGGAGCTGGGCCTGTTCAGTCTGGAGAAGAGAAGACTGAGAGGTGATCTGATCAACGTGTACAAGTCTCTGAGGGGGGGGGGGGGGGTCAAGAGCATGAGGCCAGTCTCTTCTCCATGGTGCCCAGCAACAGGACGAGAGGCAACGGGCAGAAACTGAAACACAGGAAGTTCCATCTGAACATGAGGAAAAACTTCTTCACTGTGAGGGTGACAGAGCACTGGCACAGGTTGCCCAGAGAGGTAGTGGAGTCTCCTTCCCTGGAGATATTCAAAACCCATCTGGACGTGACCCTGGGAAATATGCTCCAGAGAACCCTGCTTGAGCAGGGGGTTGGACTAGATGATCTCCAGAGGTCCCTACCAACTTCAACCATCCTGTGATTAAGAATCTCTTTGTGTTTCTAAGTAGAACTTGCATATCATTAAAACTTGCTGGATACATCTTCTGTGTGTCTCAAAAGGCATGGCCTGTGCAAACCTACAGGAACAGATAAATATGGATTTTTTCTTTGGACTATGACTTACTTGCATTATCCACATGAAGCAGAAGCATTTCCTCACCATATTTAAACTGCCATGAACATCTGACTCCAATTTTTTTCTTATGTGAAGACTGTCAATCTTCCTACAGTCTCTAGCTGTCATCAAGAATTGTACCTTGGTGCTTTTAAGAGGTCCGTACTTCACTGCCTAGTTTAAAATTTTTTTCTTCTAAGAGGTAGTCATAGCTAATGTCTGAAACTAAAGCATTTCATGGGACCTGTGAAAGCATATAATCTCTCTCTGCATAAAATAGCGTAGGTATCCTCAGCAGTTATTTGTATGACAAGTATAAATAGCTCTTTACAAAACAAGCTTGCCCCAAACCTTTCGTTACATAATGAGAATCAAATACTCAGAAAAGGCTATATATCGAATCACTGATGAGTAACGGGCGGGAAGAGTTTCTGGAAGAACACCGAAGTCAGTGGGGGGGCAGGATGGGATGGCTCCAGCTCACGAGACCAGCGTGGCAGAGGGAACACACGGGAGCCAAAGGCGAACAGGAATTAAAAGTTGCTTTTGAAGATGAGGGAAGGTTTCATTTGTTAGAGGAGTGGGGGGGAATCCAGTAGAAAGCGTCTAGAAGAAAGTGATAGGTCTGATAAATGTTGTTTTGTTTTCTGACAGGTCAGTAATCAAGATATAACCCCAAGGTATGGAGAAAAAGTAGCAAAACAAACACCCTACCCCCCCCACCCCCAAAGGACAGTGCACAGTGTTGGGAGAGTTCCAGGGCCAGTGCTTGGACAGACGGTAATAATGAATGACTGCATGTAAATATTGTGACTGAATAAATATAAACAGTGGATAATGCCTAAAATGCAATTTCTTCTGCAGTTCAGAGTAGTTAGATGTTTTTCTCTTCTACTCTGTAGCTAAATTCTAAATAACACACATTCGTTTTAAAAGCAAAAGCATTTAAAAGGTGAAGTAATAGTGACTGGTACAATTAAAATCTGCCTGTGGATGATTATGGTGCAAAAAAGTAGCACGGTACTCAAAACTTCAGAAAAGGCAGTTTATTTCAGAGGAAGTAAGAGAGTGATCAGAACGGCCTAGAAGTCAGCATTAAAAACCGGTAAAGCTCTGGGATCCCGCAAATAAACGCAGCCCTAATCATCTTCCAGTGTGTGCCGTGCAGTCTGAGGGGCACGAGACATTAGTGAGAGAAGAGAGGAAAGTAAACCTTTGGAAAGTGAAGCAATTCAGTCAAGATTCAGTGATTTATATTCCTGAATGTGAAAAGATACTGAACAACTTTAAAACTAGCCTTGGGGAGGGGGGGGAAAAAAAAAACAACCCCCAAACCTTTGAAGGTTTTGCTTTCAGCTACCGTTTGCACGTTTTTTTCCTACTTTCCTCCCTATCTATTTTTGAAAACACTAGCTGTAATGTACGTTCTGTTCTCTTACCCAAACCTTGAATAAGAACATACTCTTTCAGCAAAACAAAAAAAGTTGGCGGTGGCGGTGGAGGGGGTTGTGAGCTTCCTTGTGTTCGGCAAATGCTGACGTAAGAAAAGATGCAATACTTGTAAAACACATGAGCAATCGGAGAGCTCTTTTATAAAATGGAAAGCTAAGCATTGTGAACAGTGAATTAGAGAAAGCATCGTAACGGCAGGAAGCTTGAGCGTGCTGTGCTGGAATCTGAAGAGCCAAATGGCATGAGGACAGTTGTATACAAGTTAAGTTTTTTAAAAGACGTATATATGACTTTTTCATAGACTAGCCGGAGGGTAAAGAGCAAATGATGAGCACAAAAGCCATGAGAAACTGTACGGATCAGGTTTCTGCACTGTCCCAACTTATGAAGCCTTTTACTAAATCCTGAACGGTAAATTCTGGGAGGTGGTAAAGCCTAATAAGCTTTGTTACCTCTGCAGTCGTTGGACCAGTACTAAATTACGTAACGCTAGCTGATGGGCTAAAATCTAAACAGTGCAATTCTGCCAACCAACAGGGAAGGAAAACAGTTACATAATATGTATGACTTTAATGTGTCGATAGAATTTGAACAGATAAAATCAGTTATTCGCCTGGAACAACGTCCGAGACGAGGCGTTTCAGTATTTCTTTTAAAACTTTTTGCAAGGTAAAATACGCAGATTTCTGAATGAGGTCACAATTTGGTGTTCAAACCTTTAGCACCGGACAATAAGCTTTTTTTGTATTTAAATTGTGTATTAATCTGGAAAATGGAGTTAAATATGAAGGAGTGAAATTTGCTGAGAGCTTTGGTTATTCAAGAAAGGTATTTTAGGTAGACCCTAGCAAATTAGCTGCACAGACAACATTTTGCTGTGTAAGTTCATCAAAAAATGCATGCTGGAACAAGTAATTTAAGCTACATCTGCTTCTTAACAAGAAAAAGGATCTAGGTAATGGGTAGACAATGCCTTAGCGACATAGGCCTAATAGAGTGGATAGACACAAAGAAACAGCGCTAAAATGAGTAAGAAAAGGGATGACGCGTACTCGGTGCACAGTGCTTAATGGCATCCCTGCCTCT